TGTACATCATTCTAGACAGGAATAAATGGCCTTTTTAGAAAGTGAACCATGGATGGGGAAATGTTGGCAGTTTTCTCAAAAAATGCTTGAATTCAAGAAGATTTAAGTTTGCGTGGTTTTTTTTATTAATTTTTAATTTAATATTTTAATTTAATGGTTAATGAAACCGTTTTGAATATAATTTAATTACGCTGGCAATAACGGAAACGTTCCGATGAGGACAAGCATGTGCATGCTCTAAATGCAAAGCGCAAGTTTAAAGGGCCAATCTGCAAACAGCAAAGTTCCACTAAAGGTCGTTCAACCACTTAATCGTTGGTCGACTCACCCAGACGTGTTTATACCTGTAAAAAAATCCCGACATGTATGCTTAGAAATTTATAGCTGCCTTGATTATGTATTAATATCTTCGTGGGTGTTTTGTACAAGTGCAAATGTTATTAATTGACCCATTGTTTCGGAACCGATAGTTTAAATTATGGTAATCAGATTTCGATTGGCTCAAGCACCATATGATACCTTCGCCCAAGGCGAAGGAGTATGTGCATATGATATGATATGAAAGTATTTGAGAAGAAAATGGCAAACGCGCAGAATCTCCAAGCATCCATTGAACAAAGAGATTTAAACAAATTAATTGGAAATTGTCAAATAAAAACAACATTCAGAAGCTTCTATTTGGACACGCGGTTATTTACGAACACACAGCAACGGTAAATGAGTTATTAAACAGTTGGGTTTATGGGGGAACGGTAAAAATCGTATATCAAATTAGAGAAATTGAACTGTTGGCCCGCGGGCAAAACTTAATTCACAATATGGAAAAAATAAACTTCAGCCCAGTTTAACAGACTGGCACGTTCAAAGAAAATTAAGGCCCCTAACCATAAATAATTCTTTGGAGAGAAATAGGTATAACTGTAAAACTGGCAACGAAAATAATGATCTTTATCGTATCTATAAAGGCCCGAAGCTGGCTGGCCGTTTGGTCAACAACAACCGACAGTTTGATCGAAAATTACGATATTGTTGTGGGGAAGAGTTTCACATTAACAGCATTAGGCTCATCTCAACCATTCACCACCAATTTCCAACAGCTCATAACGAGTTCATTTCATGACAATCGTCGGTTTTTAGCCGATAAATTTGAAAGTTTTTGAAAAATWCATATTGCAATTTGGAAGGATTGAGAACSTTCCGAATTTATGTGTATAAAAACATGTACCTAGACGACATGAAAAKRAGGTCGATATTTCYAAAAAATATCAGATTTTTCGAAATACCGCGWARTTTRCACCATTTTTKGATCCATTTTRAGCAMTKTTTKAGCGGTYCCGATTTTCAAACGSYGATATTYTYATTATTGTAGACTCAAACMCKGTATAMATGCACATCARAGWGCTTCTTAGRTCGGARTCAATCCATTGAGCTCRAAAAACAAGCATGCAAAATTTCTATTTTTGCAGGAMAATTTTATATTTTGGATGGAAAATTTCAGAATCAGAAWATATCAAACGTCTCAAAATACCGCAAAYTTTACATCATTTTCATCCTARGAAAATGRGAAATGCAAYGAGCTGATTTAGAAACACGCTAGAAGCTKTAGATCCGAARGAATCAAWTTTTTGGCCTATTTTAACCTTTCTTATTGGGAACTGAAAACTTTATATATGCACGTGAGGGAGCTTCTTAGGTCAGAAACAATCCATAGAACACAAAAAAACACGCACACAAAATTTTGACTCTTGATCGACAATTTGATGAGGTGAAAGACGATTTTTTCGAAAAATATGAAACTTCTCAAAATTCCGCGAATTTTACATCATTTTCATATCAAGGAAACGAGGAATTCAACGAGATCATTAAAAACACGCTAGAAGCTTCCGATCCGAAAAAATCAACATTTTTGATCCATCTTAAGCAATTTTTGAGCGGYCGCRATCATSGWACGACGCTATTTCTCTTATTGTAARYYCAAGCACTTAWAAATTCACATCAGGGAGCTTCTTAGGCAGGAAACAATCCATTGATCTCAAAGGACAGGCGTGTAAAATTTTAACGGGYGAAAGTCATTTTTTTCAAAAAATATCAAACCCCTCAAAAGATCGCAAATTTTACATCATTTTCATTTTCAATCATTTTCAAGGAAACTCTCATTTTCAAAATTTTTCATAKMCCGGATCATCAGAAGTTTCACTMTTACTYAATACCGATCAAGTGAAAAACGTTAAGTAAAACTCCTAAAATTCCGTAATTTACAAATTAAAAATAATTAATGATTTGTTTATTCCGAAAAAATCGTCGTATAATCTGGCAATAAACATCGACTCGTTTGGACTGGTTTGAGTTAATCTAAAATCCATTTGATGGTAAAAGGAAGAGCCAAATTTCGAATATTTGGAATGAATGGACGATACCAGCGATCGATCAACTCGGAAACATTTTTCAACAATTTCCTAATGGCCAGTTTACAACGCCATTAGGTGACCATTCTGTAAGTTTACAGCATTTTTATTGTCGGAAAATATTTATCGACGAATTTGTGTGAGTTACCGTTCAATAATGTCACACTTGATAGATGAATGTGCCTTTTCTTCTGCCCGTCTGGAATGTCGTGTGTGTGTTTAATAAAAGCCAACAGTAAGATTTCGTAGTTAACACCTGATATAAGTTATTTTCTTATTGCATAACTGCTCGTGGCTACAACTTCCTGGGTTAAGGATGTTTAATGTTTATGGTTTTTGTGTTGATGCATTTGCATGGAACCTGATGCACTCACTGAGTTCCTTAGATCGTAAATTTCGCATATTTTGTCTATATTTTAAGCTATAAAGCTTCCCGTCGAAGAACACATTTTTGAACCCTAATATTTCTAAGGAGCAATGCTGATAATGCATTATTTTACTAGATTTAGAATAAACGAAAAAAACTACTAAAGTCGACTGTTTAATTTTAATTTAAAGCACAAAAAATAAAAATGATTATCTGTTTGTTCACATTTGCGACTTTTCCCAACATTTCCGGAAAATCACTGTAAAACGACTTCGATTAATCCAAATTAATAAAAGCGGAAATGCCATTAGCGTTCTTAAACCAGTTTGCACCACAGAAATCGAATTCGTATCTTTGATCCCTTAAAAAGGCTGAATCAATGAACAAATTAATCCGCGATAATTTAGCGAATGATCGTTTGATATTAACATATTTTGTGTTACTCATTTCCTTCGTACGCCTTTAATATGCACATATAATTTATTTGAAGCATCCAGCGATTTATCTGCTAGTCGAAAGACTCTTGGTACAATCCGTATGCATATGGGCAGAAACCCACAAGATTTCACTAATAAATTACCAATTTTCCCATCTTTATCAATCTTAAAACACTCTGCATAAGGACGCCCACGCACATGAATCGTTCGACCCATACTTCTTAATAATAATGACATAATTATACTGGGAGATTATTGCAGAAATGCCTGTATTTTTTTAAACGATGGTACGTGGACAGACATAAATATTCACACCCTATAATTTTCAGCCTGTACGGCACCTACAATCTTACATGGAATTATCATTGAATGGACCACAGAGAAGAATGAGACTGTTCAAAATCACGTATGATGTTTACTTCTTATTGGTCTGAAGTTTAAAATACAATGGAAGTTGCGTGAAGTGCTTCGAATATTTGATATGTGGGCAACTGTCTTATTCTAGGGACTTGGGAAATAAAATTCGTAATGCTAGAAAAACACAAAGTCTGGTTTCAATTCACGTCCGCGTCAATAAGGGGAATTCTTGAACTCAACTGAAAACAAATTGAACGAAATCGATTTATTGACTTTGATGATTGCAAACAGGCAATATTCAATAGCTCAAACGCTTTCGTCAAACAGACAGAGAAATTAAAGAGTGTTTAGAAACATAAACTACAAATATTAGATTTGAGCCGGCGGATAAGCAGGTGATATATTTTAGAGCCTTTCAAGTTCTGCCGCTGAATCAATATTTGATATTTCGGTATACGTGGTTGTTTGAATGCACCAAAAGCAGTTATAGCTTTTAAAATGCTAATAATCCTGTGAAGTTTACGAGCCATTGGCCGTTCAGTGCATGATACACCTTAAATAGCCTATGTGGTTTCTTTCGTAGCCAGCTGTATAATATATACAGGGGTTTTCTGGTTTTTCAGTAATTACAATCTTCAATCGACGGTATATTTATTCATCAGCGAGCTTTCAAGGTCGGAAAAAATCCACTGAGCTAAAAAATCGCGCATGCAATCAAAAATTTCTTGAGGGGTTTTCTCAAAATATTGCGAATTTTACATCAAATTTATCCCAATGCATCGAGGAATGCAATAAGCTCATTGAGAAACATTGTAGAAGCTTTAGATCCCAAAAATCGACATTTTTGGCCCATTTTAAGTGGGTACATCATTTTTGAACGGTTGCGATCATCAAACGACGATATTTTCCTTATTGTAAACTCAAACACTTTGTAGATGCACATCAGGGAACTTCTTAGGTCGGAAACAATCCGTTGAGCTCAAAAAACATGCAAATAAAATTTTTGACTTCATTCAAAATTTCGTAAGGGTGGAGGTCGAATTTTTCAGAAAATATCAAACATCTCAAAATATCGCGCATTTTGCATCATTTTCATCTCACTGAACCGAGGAATTCAACGACATCATTTAGAAACACGCTAGAAGCTTTAGATCCGAAAGAATCAACATTTTGGTCCATCTTAAACAATTTTTGAGCGGTCCCGATCTTACGATATTTTCCTTATTTTAAACTCGAACACTTTGTAGATGCAGATCAAGCAACTTCTTAGGTCGGAATCAATTCATTGACCTTAAAAATCACACGTGTAGTTTTGATCCTTTGAGAAAATACCAAACAAAAGACGTAAATATGGTTTCTTTTGCATCTTCTGAACAGAAAACCTCAAAATTTTCGACATTTTCAGGTATTTGATGCGAATTAATAGCGTTTATAAGGTGGCCACGCTAATTGCACCTTTTGCATCAAACCGTGAATCAACTTTCACGTAATTTATGTAAAATGGGCAAGATTATACACGATCGCTTAATTAATAGCGTTTAATTATTGGAATTGCCGGGTAATTTAACGTTTTTACCTGACGCTGAAACCGACTAATCGCATTTCACACATCTAATTGAGATATTATGTATGCACACTTAAACATCAATAACAGTCAGGGAACTTATGTTAGAATATGCGAGTTTACCAAATCTTGAAAAACTGTTTTCAACCAGTAGTTATTACCTTAAATTGACAATACAAATCGTTCCCCTAATGTGATTTTTTTAATTTTTGAGCAATTTTTTCTCCATTTTTGAATAAACCACTATTTTTGGCCAAAAATCAAATGGTAACTTACTACCAATTTTCAACGAAAAAAATAAGTTATTCAAACTATACGATCTTCAAGAGTACAAACCGAGGATATTTTTGAATGAGGCTCAATAAAAAAAAACTAGAATAAATCGTGAAGACCGCCCTCCAGGCGACCACAAAAGACCAAGCAGGATGAACGGCTGCTCGAGTGCCAACATTTGGTCAAAGAGCGGCATTTATGATTTTATACAAGGGCAATCGCTGTTTCCACACAATGCCTACCACCTATTAGGAGATTTATTAGCTATTAGGCTCCGAAATCATCGGCCGGGCCTTTATGAACTCAACCAGTTAATAGGATTTGCAAATGTTGGCTTTGACAGTCTTCTGTTGTCTATGAAATTAGTAAAATGATCGTCGTTTTGTGCAAGGGTGGCGCAAGATTATTGTGAAATTTCATGTTTTTCGCCCCGTTTTGCATGTTTCTCGGAAGCAAAATGAGCAAGAACGCTCGTTTTTACATCATTCCAGAGATAACTAAATAGCCTTTGTTCGAAGTTTCTCAAGAACCATTCGAGCCACAGAATTCGGTTTGGCATCGTTGGATAGAGAATTGAAAAGTC